CGGCACCCGCTTTTAATTGCCGGCACGGCTGTCGACCTCGGAATTGAGCTCGTCTAGCCGCATACTGCATCACCGGAAAGCTGAGCGCCACTTCGCCGGCTTCAAGATACCCTCCCCGTCGGCGACGGCATTGGCGTTGAATTGACCAAGATCACCGAGCTTGAGAGGGGCAGAGATGATGAGCATGTTTTCGCTCGGCTGATCGCTGACTGTATGTCAGATGCTCGTCGAAGGCTGCGTCCGACGGGACGCTCGTGTGACTGGGTGTCTGATCAGTTTTGTTTAGTTGCCGGATTGTAGTTTTGGGTAATCATTTGGTGGCAGAGATAAGTGTTGGAGAGTGAATCCTGTTCTCGAGGGCGTTGTGGGATGAACTTGTCAAGAGCTCAGCCCCTGTGAGGCCACGTAGGGGTGGGTTCGGTATGTAGAATATAAGCTGAAGAGAAGAAGATTCGTTGCCCTCGATTTCGAATATCAGCCGGTACCCAACAGAGCTCGACGTCGAGCCCTGGTTCATGGAGGGCTTATGTTTAGTCTGCGATGACCTTGAGAAGGTACGCTACGGATTTTCCTTCTAGTTTAGCTGACAACCTGATTACCGCCTGGTCGTCGGTGTGGGTGAAGTTTCTGCTTCTATAGTTTCCATGTTGCTTGTCTGCCTGGGCCATCTCGAGGGCAAGGACAATGCCCTGCAGTTTTCGCCCGTAGACCATCGACGTTGTGTCATCAACCTTGTGTGATTTGCGGGTTTGTTATGTGATTGCGCAGATTGCGGCGGCTCCAATCTGACTGTCAATGCCGCTGCCGTCTGTGTAGATGTGGGTTGCTCCAGTTTTCATTTCCAGACATCGTCAGTGTGACCCTTCAGCCTGCTCTGCGGATCCCGCAATGCGAACGCGCCGTCCTCTCCACCATGGGGGAGTGATAAAAGGCGATATGTGCTCGTACCCGTGCTGTTCGCTGACTGCCTCCTGTCCATCGAGCAGCCATTTCGTTATCGTCTTTCCCGGGCTCATTTCTTTCCTCTGCGTGCAGTGACTTCGGCCGTGCCTACTCTGCTGATGGTGCCGATGTTGTGTTTCCAAATCTGTTGTTCGATTGGCAGAAGATGCATTTCCACATCTAGTGCTGGAAACGAGGTTGCTCTGTATGCTCCGCACATTGCCCTGGCTGCTCTGGCTTGGAGCCTTTGCAGTCTGTTTAATGTTCTCCTCCTGTAGTGCATCTCTGCCCAACCGCTGTTGGACCACAGCGAGCATGCGTACATCATCTGTGGTATTGCGACTCCCCTATAAATCGTCCTCATCTCTCTCGTCATCACGCCCCACGTGGAGCTGCCTAGACTGCTGAGTGCTGTGATGGTGTTCGTGACCTTACGTTCCGTCTCGTCGATGTGTTGTTTTCACTTGAGGGCTGAGTCCATGATGAGGCCGAGGTATCTACATGTTGTCTTGGGCTTAATTTCTCCCCACTGGCTGTGGAGTGTTGTGTCTCTGTCGATTCGGGTTTTCGCTTTTGTGAAGTGGGTAAGCTGGAACTTTTCGGGAGCGAAGACGGAGGCGTGAGTGGAGGCCCATGTCTCGGCTTTCCGAAGCGCTTCTTGGAGCTTCTGGCAGGTTTCCTCAGTGCTGTGTCCCACGGCTAGGATTGCTATGTCGTCGATGAAGCCGGTGGCTGTCGTGTCCCCGATCTCATTGCAACTGACCAAAAGATCCGCATTGTAGAAGAGGTAGAGTATCGGCGAGAGAGGCGACCCTTGGGGGATGCCAGTGTCGAGTTTGTAGGTTTCGGATCGGAACCCGTCCACGTGGATCTCTGTCTCTCGGCATCCGAGGAAACTGGCAATCCAACGCACCGTCGCTTCGTCGATCCGCCTCTTCCTAGGTTATGTAGGAGCCGACGGTGCGAAACGTTATCGAAGGCGCCTGACACGTCCAGGAGGAGTAGGCTTGCTACCATCCCCTTCCCTGAACCCCAGGCTTCGTATATCTTATCTACGATTTGATGCAGTGCGTGTTCCGTCGACCGACATCTTCTCCCGCCCATGTGGCTGTCTGGCAGCAATCCATGTGTTTCGGCAAGGTAGCTCAGTCTCCTCGCTATGATGGCATCCATGATCTTGCCTACCGTGTTGAGGAGGGCTATCGGCCTGTATGCTTTGGGCACTGTGTAGTTGTCTTTGCCTGGCTTCCTGAGTACCACCGTGGTGGACTTTCTGAAGTGTTGGAGACAATATCCTAACCGGAGACTCTGGTTGAATATGCGGGCGAGATGTGGTACGATCCATGGTCTCGCCACTTGGAGTGCCAGGTGAGTGATGCCGTCGGGGCCCGGGGCCTTCAGCGGTGCTGCTTCCTGGATGGCGTCTTCTACTTCGCTTTCCGATACTGGCGGCAGGCCAATCTGGTTGCCGTACAGTGTGTTGTCGATGTCTTCGAGGTTTGCCTCTGGCGGCGGGGGGAAGAAGGTCTCCTCGAAGAGTGCTGCTTTCTCCTCAGGCGTTGTGGCAACCTGAGACGTGTTGGGTTTCTTGATTTCCGGCGTGACGGTCGGCGGCTGGCTCTGTCTGTTCCGGGCCCATTTCGCCATCTTCCACAGCGACCTGGGAGACTCGGCTGCTGTTTTCTACCGCTTCGCGATGTGCTTGTTGCAGAGCTTTCTTAATGATGCGGCCTTTCCTGTTGCATGCCTCTCTGTACGCCTCCCAGCTCTCCTCTGTCTGTCGCTCGCTGTAGTCGCGGCGGAGTCGTTTCGTCTCGGCCAAGATGGCTGCGCACTGCTCGTCCCAGCCTCTCCTAGGTTTTGGTGAAAGGGTGCTGGTCGGGACCGCGGCTTTGATAGCGGCTGAGAGGGCGTCTATGATTGTCTCTACATATCCGTCGAGCGCTGCCTTCGTTCTTGGCCTTCGTAGCTGCGGCAACGATCCACGGAGCGTCTCGGTAAACATTTCCTTATCAACAGCTTTCCACTTCCGTTTCTCCTCTCGCTGTAGCTCGGTCACTGCTAGGTGCAGGGACGTCGCTATGGGTAGATGGTCGGAGTCATGGTCGATGTTGTGATCTACTTCGCATCTGATCATTCGGTCAACGAGACATGTTGTACTGTAGTATTGTGAGTGTCTGTTGTGCGTTCATTCGCTATCGTCGACAACGATCTCCATCGCTGTGCTGTTGCTTATCGTCTGCGTGTCTGTCAGCTGCGTATTGGGGTCGAGCGCCTCGAGGGCTCTTCGCGATCGGGTGATTGTGCGTCTCGGGCGCGTATTCTCTGCAGCTACAGTAATCGTCTCTTCCGTTTCCTGGGTTGCTGTCGGGTTAGGCCTCTTTTGGATCTTCTTCGTCGGGGACCTGCTCCGGCTCGGACGATTCTCCTGGGATTGGCCTGGTTCCAGCGTCGGCCGTGTGGTCCTCGGGTTCGGCCTGATCCGGGGTTCCGGTCCCAGGGCCGGGTGTGGGGCCGTCTGTTCCGGGTGGTACCTCGACCGTTGGCCGTAGGTGGCCTTGATCTTGGCCTTCTCGCGGATCCTGGTGGGGCATCCGCCGTGCCACGCCTCATGCTCGCCGTAGCATGCGGCGCATTTCCTGGGGGTCGTCGTGTCGCTTTTCAAGGGGCAATCTCGGGTCGCGTGTTCTTGCGCGCAGTAGCCGCATGTTGTCGTTGCCTTGCACTGGGTTCCTATGTGGCCGTATGCGCAGCACTTGAAACACTGCCTCAGACGGCACTGTTTGTCATATCGTTCGCATTGGAATACCTGGCCTTGCCGGATGAGTCCCTCGTCAATGAGTTTATTGGCGTCTTCTGCCCTTGAGAGCTCCACAACCACTGATGATGCCGTCTTTTTCCTGGCTGACTGGGTCAGCCAGCCTATACGTACTTATGTCTGCTCTGGGGATGAATGCTTTATTGTCCTGCAGCAGGTCGTCTCTGATTTCTGTGAAGCAGTCCATCTTCATAGAGCTGGTTCTGATGCCGTGCGTCAGCACCCCGTAGGCTGGCATCCTCACGGCGGCTCCGTTGCCGATGTGGTTTTCCCAGTCCTCGGCAAACTGCCGGAGGGCCTCCATGTCTTTCGTCGTGGCTGTCTTGACGCTCAGGTCGCCGCTCTTGAGTTGATTGGCAGACACGGTCTTGAGCTTGCGGATATGCTCGTTGCTGCTTTGTTCGATGGCGCGGTCTACGTGCGCCTTGAGGCTACGGGGGTTCATGGCTCTTATGCTGGCAATGGTGATGGGGTCTCGAATGTTCACAATGATCTCACGCAGAGTCTGGGTCTGGGACGCTCTCTGGTTATAGGGATTATGCATGCTCCCCGCAAGTCCTCCTCGGGCGGCTACGCTAGCATATGACTGCACGGTGTTCCCCTGATTCATCGGCTCCAGTGCTTTGATATCCTTTACGACCTTGACCGCCAGCTCGCTGGCTTTCCAAGCCTCCTTAGCGGCCGCGTTGGCCGCGCGCGTTGTGTTGGTATTTTCTTTAAGTCCGACCGTGTTCTGCTGCATGGCAATCCTGATGCTTCGCGTGTCGCGGGTGGTGTTTTCGTTGGCTGTTTTGGTTTCTGCACGTAGGCTTTCGATGGCTTGGTGGAGGTGTCCGAGTTCGGGTAGGTTCTGCATTTTGACAAGCAGAGAGAGGGTTGCGATGAGTGTGGCCCTCACGGCTTGCGGGTTGAGGGGGTGTTCGTTTGCGGTATCGATTGATTTGAGTGCTGTCTGAAGGTGTCTGTTAAGCTGAGTGGCATGCTCTCGATGATGCGTTGGCCATAATTGCTCCTGGGGCCATGGGGTTGCCATGGTGCCTGCGTCGCTATGGGCTTCAAGACGAGCACACGGCTATCCAATTGACCCTTCAGAGTGTGTTGTGGCGCTGTTCTTGCTCGGATTTCAAAAATTCGTTCTCGCTGGTGTTGGTGTTTTTTTTCTCACAAGCAGATCGAGGTGGTTTCTAAGGCGAATCCCTCCTCGGGCATAGGTAGGACCGAAGTGCGGAGTACGTTGCCATCACGCCCATCGCGCGGCAGCGGGGCGCAGAGCGCAGCCCTGTTAGAAAAGAGTAGTCCCGTCCCACACAACAGGGGTTACGGGCGCTAATGACAGGTAGCCACCGCGGCCCGTTCCATAGCTCGTTCGAGAACAACGACGTGGTTGAAACTCCGACAGCAATCGTCGAAAGAAGTACATACATACATACATTAGTTTCTGATAGACTCAACCTTTGCCCCATGGTCCAAACTTTTTAGTCTCCGATTGCAGCTCGTAGGATGGGCTCTGCGATTCCAAGATACGTGTCTTCGTCTCCTCCACCACTTTCTGCCGCCACACTCCGTCAAGCCGCCGCCACAATGCCTCCCTCAAGTGGGGCAGATACTTCACGTCGTCGATGCAGTAAATTTTGATGGGTGCAGACATCGGTCGCGAGTTGAAGACTTCGTATGATCCTCCTCTGCTAGGATGGAACAGTTTGAGCCCGGCTTCTTTGCCGACTTTCCAGCGAGCCTTCTCCTCAGACGACAGAGGTGCGTACAATCCGATACACTTATCCAATCCATTCAGATATCGCCGTTGCCCGCGCGGGCGAGCTGCGTTCTCCATCAGCTGCACGTCTTCGATGCCGCTGAGATTCACTTGGAAGTGATGAAACAGGGCGTCAGAATCATTGCGCACATCAAAAAAAGAAACTTTGATGATGTCGGGAGACTCAAGAATCTGTTTGAAGGTTGTTCCTCCGACCGCAGTCGAGAATGCTGTAGACTGCATGGTGTGGATGTCGACGAGGTAGACGTGACTTCGGAACAGAAAAAAGATGGTAATAAGTGAAATGGAGCCATTGCGAGAGAGACTCACGCCTTCCAGGTCTAAAAAGAGCGACGGCAGACCGATCGGAAGATTTTGTATCGACGTGAGTAGACTGGACATCGATTCTGCCGAGTCAACTAAGCTGTAACATATATCGCCAGCAGACATTGTGATGAAGAATGGCAGCGGCGCTCGACCACGAAGGCCGGCTTGAGCGACTCTCGAGCGTCTTCATATGTCGTCCATGGCCTCCTTTTTCCATGGTTGACGACTATGCTGCTGATGCCGAGGCAGCCTTTCATCGAATCCGTGTAGAGCTGGCTGCGGTAGCGTGGAACTTGAGCATTGCTCCCTTCGTTTGAGGGTGTCAAGCAGGCGATGCAGCGTTACCCCTGCCAACACATGTGACTACATAAAGCCCACGCCGCCGATGAGATGAGGCCGGCACCCCGTACCATACATACCGTCCTGTTCTTCATAGGATCGCGTGGATCTGTGCCCGTGATACTCCCTTGCTCTCGTCCTCCATTTCTATTCGTGAGCAATTCATCGATCCCGCCATCCCTGTGGTATTTGGTCGTTGACACTGTTGGCTTCGGCCGTTAGGTGCAGGGTGACTGTATGGAACCGAATAAGTTATCGAGGAAGACGTTTGACACTCGATCAGAGTGGCATAAACCGCATGATCCTTCTCTACATTACTATCGTGAGAGGAATCCCTGCTCGTGTTCGACTTTCGCTCGGCTCTGTCGCTCATGTGATGTCTCGACCGTTCTACCTGATCGCTTCGCTGTTGATGCTGTTAGCAGACGTCGACACGACGCGCCATCCGTTCACATGTCCCCATCTCTTCGTGGCTCGCTGATGATCATGGAGTGGTGGGCACCGATGCCCCATCGGTTGTCATCCCACCACAAGCGCAGCGGCCAGTCACCTCATGGACCACATTTAGGGCGTGGGTCATGAAGCAAGAGCTGCACCAATAGTGATGCGAGGCCGCGTCTCCAACGGGCATGTTCCGACAGCTCGGTGCAGGAAGACCAGACCTGGTTAGAGCGGATTTGGCAGGGTTAGCCATCCGGCTACCCTGCTTATGTTTGCTTGGCTACGTAAGTACACGTCGGCGAAAGAGAGCAATGCCCACACACAGCTCCTTGGAGGAAAAAAGTGAAGCTAGAACTGATTAGACCAGGATCAGCTAGTTCGTTCGCTAGCATCTTAGCCCCATGCCCTAACACTACATGCCACGCACCTACGGTGTCTGTCTCCCGTACTTATCTCAGGACTATTCAATAAATTCCCTGCCTGACACGAATATAAAGTATTCATTCCTGGTACTAGTTACCATCTTAAACTAAGCTCTGTCCTTTCGCGCGAAGATCGTACTCACGAGACAAGACGTCAAGCAGGGCGAAGGCGCCCAATTTGACATCCTTCTTAGACGGCGGGAGCCAAGCCAACCCCTGTCGAGGGTTTACGAGAGTTCACCGTTCGATGCTGCTTCAGGGCAAAGCCCGCGGCAGGCATCACAGCCCGAAGCTTGCCATTCGATCGAGACGTCACATCCCAAGCAGAGTCTTTGGCAAAGCAGAAGCGAGCAACCGATACGTCGCTTTACGCCATCCAGTGCCGCACTGGCTGGGCGCAATTACAGCCTCATGTTGAACGGTCCATCGGGTTTGCTGCCTCCGACGATCGTCGAATCTGCGCCCGCCACCTCGCGACCTACTGCTGCAAATGACAGCCCAGAGTAACCTGGCAGGTCAACGTTGTGCTACGACTCGGTATCTGATCTTGGTTGGTTAGGCGGGAATGACAATCTAATAGTTATCCGTGAGCTCAAGATGGGAACGGGGTCTTCACCTAATGAGCCTAGTCCTGCTGACGCGGCTGACATTCCCTCATGCATCGGACACAGTCGTCGCACGGGTTCAGAGGCGCCGCGATTCCATAGTCACCCTCACAACCAAGATGATATCGACACGTTCAATTGCGCATGTCCGGATAAACTCACCACCTACAAGAAGCTGACAAGCGAAGATCGCCGGATTGAGCTTTGTCGTACATTTGATGAGCGTAGATTCGATGCCATGATCTACGGCCAACCTGATGCACCCAAATGTGGACGTGATGATGCGGCAAAGCCGCTCCACAACGTGACGAAGCGCACATGACTCTAGTATGTACATACAATAATGCAGAGCTGTCTGCAACGAATTGTTCCGTCAACGTATATGGCTGCTATGTACTTATTGGAGGGAGCATGTCAGCTTGAGCTGGCTGCGCGAGGTGCCAGATGTGGCCGAGGCAAAGCGGGTTCTATGTTCCCGCTGGAGCATACTTGGTTCGAAGGCTACAAACAGCCGCAGGGCGATGTGCCGAGCCGGGACCGAGTGCGACTTGCTTCGCGTGGGCGAGCGCATAATGGCGCGCAATGTGAACCCTGGCTGAGGGGCACCGTCCGCGCAGGGAGACCTGGCAGGGTGTCTCCTGCCCAACATAAACCACCCAAGCGGTCCTTCCCGCGGCTTACTAGATGTACAGGCACCTGGAGAAAAGCGGGCTGCCAGGCACATCACAAGCCGGTGCACGCTCTGCACAGTGCGTCCCGCACCATCAGATGGCGAGAGCGCAAGGCAACAGCGCAGTGGGTCCCATCCGTTCAGGTTCCCGAGGGGCGGGACTACTCAGAGGCCTCTTTTGCTTGCACAGCACAAGCGGGGAGTCTGGTCGACCAAATATGGAAGAACCGATGAGTGCGGGGAGACAGGCGCGGGGCTGTGGAGCGCCGCAGTCACCAATCGTACAACAAACCGTAATACAGCTATTTGCAAAATCGGTGTCCTCTTCACCAACACTCTTTAGATAATTCAGGCGCACGGGCACAGTTCGTATTGGCCGTTACGTACTCTACAGGTGCCTTTGTACTGTTCGGCTACGCTACTGCAACTCGGAATTATCACCTGATTATACACATGGTTTCTGACAGATATCAGAATGGCGGCTGACAAATGGGCATATGGGTGTTCAAAAGAGCGTATATTGTTGCTTAGCGAATAAGCTGACACCGCTAAAATGCGTCCTATTCATCTAAGGAAAGATAGCACAGCCGAACCGTTTAAGAAATACCGGCCAGGCTAATTCAATATGAGGAAGTCATGGCGTAAACGAGGGGCCATGACTCCGGAGTAGCCGACCAAGGTCTGACAGTTCGTCAGACCTTGACATTGCATGATCGAGTCGTGCATCCAACCCATCCATGCTCGATCCCCTATTGCAATGCGGAATATAGGCATTATGGCTGTGAATCCCTTCTCTGTTCCATGTTTTAGGTTAGAGACGTAACAACAACGCCACGCTCGCTTCGTAGGCAATAGACCAATATGCCCAATTGCTGGCCGCCTGACACAGTTTCCAAGGCTGGTGCCCAGGTTACCTGTACACGATAAGTTCAAAAGCCATCCGCTTGTTAGAGGCGCAGCACATACCAGACCAAGGTGGCAGCTAGAGCGAAAAACAAAAGAATTACAAGTTGTGCACCGCCTGGCCTTAAACTAGCACCTTCAAGTACTTGGGTTTCTTCTTCAGCCTCCTCCGAATACGCGCTGCCCAAGTCTTGCTCTTCTTGGTCTCGGAGGGCGAGCAGTTGCGGCAATTGCGCATCCCAATCACAATAATCTAGCCACTTCGCCCGACGTATTATCGCCCTCCTCCGTATCTTCGACTGAACCCCGAGTCCGAGGAAAAGTTCTTCGGAATCAGGCGTTATCGGCTGGCGGTCCCTGTAGGCTAGCTCGAAGGTATATTGCGTTAGGTGCGCGAGTGTTATGATGAGTACGTGTTCTTCAGCCATGGCGTAATCGGGAAAGAATCGGCCAAGCATACGTCGTTCCTCGGGCTTTACAAGTCCGAGCAAGGCGAAAACCCTATCTCTAGTTTCCTTGCATTTGGCACGGTGGTGGGCGACGACGAGGTCGTATAGCGGTTGCATTAGTTCCGGATACCGATCAATCGTACGGCTCATAACGAGTGGCAAGGCAGGATATGACCCTGCCTTACTCCCTCCAGGATCGAGGTCGTCCGATTGGGGAAACTCGTTGACATCTGCCTCTGTGCATAGGATACGCTGGAAGTCGAACCATGTTATTCGGTTATTACTACAATAGAGCTCGATTTCTAAACCGAGCAGGCATTCCTGAATAACCCAGAAGCGAGTCCAGTACGGGCGACCCGCGAGCTCGAGCATGGATTCTCGCCAGTCGAATCCGTCGCTGTCTAGCGTCTTGATAGGAGCGAGAGTATTTCGGGGTAGGCCCTTTGGTAGAGGTATCAAACCGAGCCAAACAGAGACGCAGGTAGCACTCCTGTATGTATGATCCATGCAGCGGACTTGTGAATTACGCTCTGCATCGTTGGCTTGGTTGATGCAAATCGCGTCAACCCAGAGGTACTCCCACTCGGTATGCCGTGAAGCAAGGCCCAAGTAATACAGACAAGACCATAGATTTGGTCTGACTGGGAAAGGTTGACCATCTAGGAAGATTGTCTCGGAAGGGCTGCCGTCCCCCCAGGTGTATGAGACGGCTGTGTACTTATAGCTATTTACCGCTGCGCGACGCACAGTGATGACTGAAAAGTGAAGGTTGTCGTGAGACAATGAGACTGGTCGGAGTAGTCGGAGGTGGTCCGAGTCGAGAGAATCGCGGTATGCCATTGGAGACAGAAGTGACAAAGATCGGAGTCTGTTGAGGGAGTATCTAGAGATAAGAGGAATGGATTCACAACGTCGTTGCTAGTGGAGTCGACCGAATTGCTATGAATTAACGATTCTGACGACGAGAGCGACTCGGGACAGACGGGGTGCACAGCAGGGCATTGCCCCCTTACTGGCATACTATTCGCTGGGCCTGTCGACAAGGCGGCCATTGCCTTGATACCCCGCAGCATCATTATCAGTGGTGAGCAGGATATCATTGGAACTGGCGTGGAATCCACTCTACGAATACAATAGATTCGGGACTATGCTTCGGATTCTCCCCGGAACATAAGGTATTGGTTGGGGTACTGTATCAAAGTGTGGACATACTATGGTATTTACTTTGTGAGGTATTGTCCTGCTCCTGATTTCCTCAAGGACTTTGGACAAACGGGACACCGATTTCGCGAATACGGATAGTGGATCACCATATCCAGGCAAGCAGACTCTCGCGCTCACGCACTCAACCCGCGCGTCTATTCCTATCAACCGCGTCGGAAATGCCCAGCGTTCTTTCACCTCGTGACAGAGCCCACGGCGAGCCATACTCCCACGCAACTATGCGAGCCACATCTACGCGCTCTGCCTAGCCATCACCGTCCTCCCCCCATCTCTTGTGAGCCGAGAGCGTACTTGTATGGTAGTCGGCTCACTCGCGTTCCGGCAAAAGCCACCAGCGGCCCCCCCCCGCGTCCCGAGACCTCCCGATCAGTGCACTGGGTGCGAATACGAGTCCGTGTCCTGTATGTAAAGCCGTGATCCTAGGGAACAAGTCCGTCACGGCGCGTGCCTGCCCAGGTGTAGCTGAATTCGCCTCGTCCACCGGAGTGGCGTCCTCGTTCGCGAGATGACGGCGGAGGGTCCGCAGCCAATCGGGCGACGAAAAACGGTGGACGATCGTCACGGTGCACAAGTCCAAAAGCTTCGGCGATATTGTAGGTTCCTGCGTCGATATGAACATCCGAACTCCGAGGTGTCGCTGGAGGCGGACAGTCTGCAACAGCGACTCCGTAAGCACCTGGCTTTCTCCTGACTGCCCGAGGTACTTGTGCGCCTCGTCCAGCGCCACAACGCGACCAACGTCCGACTTCTGCTCCAAGAAGAGAGATAGGCAGATGTTGAAGAGCAGACATGCCATTTCGGCCGGGATGCAGGGACAAGAGAGATCGATAATAGTAAGCTGCCCGGCCTTGGTGATGCGTCAGCCATTGCAAAGACAGCGCTCGGACGATGCCATCGTACCTTTGGCGCCCAGTAGATCTCCTCATCGGATCGGGCTTTTCCTTTGATCATGAAACTTTCCAGTGTCTCGAGACGCTGCTGCAAAGGGCCTTGCTGCCCCTGTGAAAACTTCTCCCGCGCGAGTGCTTGTTTGAACTTAGCGTAGTCGAATTGCGAGCCCTTCTCCTGCTGCTCGAGTCGCATATCTCGAAGTATACGCTGCATGACGTATGAATAGAGTGGTTTGGTACCTTCCTGAAATGCCATGAGGTCTAGCATTCTGCTGGTATTGAGATCGGATCCACTGATTCTGAGGGGTTTGACGTCGACTTGAGGAATACCGCTATAAATCTTCTAAAATCCAATGACCTGCGTCAGCCGCCATGCATCAGACGTAGTCGTACTTTGAGATCCCGTCATTACCTTTACGGTGCGGAAGCTCGTCGGCGCACAGAGAACGCGAGCCGATACCTTGGCATGGGAGGCAAGGAAAGCCGCCTCGCATGGGAGACCGCCATCGTCGGACGCGAATGTGTCGTAGTGAAAGACGATACCGGCAAGTGGATGAGCCAATCTTCCCAAATCGCTAGGTATCAGGCAATTCTCCAGAAGGCATGCCAGGGTATTGCTCTTTCCTGAACCCTGACTCCCGCAGATGAAGATGCTAGATGGACAGCTCACATTGTAGAAGATGCGCGACTCCTTTGATGGCCGGCCATTCTCCGACAGTACTCCACCCAGAAGGCCAAACTGCAGAGAGGGCGACCGTTGGAGCGTCGGTACAAGGAGCAGAGGGCTTGAATCGATCTCGTTCTTCTCTTGGCCGGGGGTGAGGCCGAGAAACTGCATGTGGAGCTTTGCAGCCTGGCCATTGAGGTCAATAGGACTGTATATCTCTAGTTCATCGAGCGGCTTCTCCAGTTTCACGTTGGTTGACACCTGAGAATATTCGGCCACGACAGTTTTCTGAATAGGAACGACGTCAGCGGCGCCTGTTTGGAGCGTTTTCTCGGCACAGAACCTTTCGATGACCGGTATCTTTTTGGTGTTGGTGTAAGGCCACTTCTGATAGAGAAGAGCGGCCGCAAGTGTGACACTCAAATTCTGGGGTGGTATGGCGTGTTGCCTGGACATGTTGGTTGCGATTTGTTTGCGAGTCGAAAACTCTTGTGCAGGTGCCGCATTTGAAGGCCATGGCGAAATGGCGGTGCAATCGATAAAGCGTCGGTAGTTTGTAATGCAGGCTGATTCGAAACCAGCCACAGTAATCTAGGCGAGCAACGTTTGTAGCATCTGAAAATACCTAGTGTTGTCAGGAAGTGGGATGCGTTTAAATCCACCTAATAGCGTGACGTGTTTGTTGTACTGTACTGTACCACGCGAGACAAACCCTCGAGTTAAATCATGGTCGGCCTCCAGCAGCTGATACTTGCGCTTCTCAACAGAGTTAAGGCTCCACATATTCTCATCTACACCGCTTCCTATCCCGCATTTCCTTGGGGCTGTTGACTTGCTTACGCCTCGACATGAGATCTGGTTGTCCACTTAGAGTCAGAGAGCGATGGGCAGCAACTGACGCAGTGCCATTCCTTAGTATCAGTTTGAATGAGCCACAGTAGATCTGCGTTCTGCACGTCACGCCAACAGTCTGCGATGACACCGAGGCAGTTGCAATCATCTGAACGTAGGAATAGGATTGTAGAGTGGAAGAGTGTCACGTAACGGGGATCAGAACCGCAACCCACGAACGGCCCGTTACGTGCTATATCACGTGTTTTCACTTACATCTCGTATACAGATCTTTTTCTTTTGTCTATTTCCACTTTGATAGATTAAGCCACTTTACCACATTCCGTATGCCCGTTGCTGCGTGCCATTACTCGTGACAAAGAGTGAGATCCACGTAGCTTTTCTTTGGGAGCCAAAACCCGGTGCCGACCGTACCAAGCGTAGCGCTTCGTTTGATGTTGTGGTGCTTCATCTTTCCAAACCTGGAATCCTTTCGCCCTCCAGGAGGAAGAGCTTCTGGTTATATATGCCCCGCAATGACCTTGGTATAAGCAACACGCAGATTCTTCCCTCCTCTGACATAATCACACGTTGTACTTGGCCTTTGATCCGACTTCATCTCAATACCTCTCCTATGGAAGCCGTTTATTCCTGAGTATTATTCAGAGGCGATTCAAGTAGAATCGGCCATACAGACTACAAACTGTGATCCGAGCTTTGGAGCAATATCGGTTGGAGTTGGGACGGCGTGATGATTGGTCGGTGCTTCCCATTAACTGGAGACTCGGGGTTGGGGTTACATGGGTAGTTACCAGGGTTAAGCTACGAGAAAGGGGTGCTAATAAGGCAATTAAAGAATGATAGATGGGAAGATCACTTTGCACTGCTTGTTTACTACCAGAAAGTAGGAAGCGGTATTGAATGGCTATGGATAGCTTCGTCGAGATCAACGAGAAGCATCGCATGCTCATCTGTCGGAAATGCAAGGCAGCTATCCGGCCCGGCAGCAGCATTGAGTCGCACTTCCGCCACGAGCATCAGCTGAAAGGAGAGGTTCTTAGGGACATCAAGGACTACTACAGTTGCTCGGATCTGGCTGATCCAAAGGTTGACGCTCTGCCCGGCGATGGTGGTTCGGCCATTGAACAGCTTGACGTTCTGCGGGGGTATCGTTGCTCCGCATGCCGCTATCTCACCACGGCAAGAGACAACATCACACGCCACTGGCGGGAGGCCGGGCACACGGCGACTGGGCCGAAGTCAACAGAGGTCCGGTTGCAGACGTGGATGCGCGGGAAGTACGCACGATACTGGATGGTCGGCAACGACGAGGCCGAGGCAGGACCCGATTCGGGCAACAGCGGCGGGAAGGATGCCATGGAGCTGATGATGGCCCAGTGCACGGCCGAACTGAACGCCGAGGATGCCGAGCGGCTGAGGGTGGGGGACTTGAAGGAAGACATAGACCGGGACTCGTCGTGGGTGAAGAGGTTACAATGGGTCAAGCATTTCGGGTCTCGCGACCTTCTCGCGATCTACGACGCTGCCGAGTGGATACGGGCCAAGAGTACGGCGTCGGGACAAGGCTGGGAACGGGACGAAGAGGCCGCGCGAGAGCGATCAGTCTTGCTACGTCTCGGGGAGAGCTTCGATCGCGAGGTGGAACGGTGCAGCTGGCAACTGGACAGCGTACCGGCCGAGACGCTCCAGTGGCTCGCCAGCATCGTGAGCACCAGTCCCAGCGGGATGCCGTTCGGGCTCAAGGGCAAGGAGGCGTCCATGACCAAGTACCGGTCGGTGGGGCATCGGTATCTGGGCTTCTGCTGGCGGGCGCACCGGATCGGAAGAGACGAGGCGCTGGATAGGAAGCGGTGTAGATGAGAATATGTGGAGCCTTAACTCTGTTGAGAAGCGCAAGTATCAGCTGCTGGAGGCCGACCATGATTTAACTCGAGGGTTTGTCTCGCGTGGTACAGTACAGTACAACAAACACGTCACGCTATTAGGTGGATTTAAACGCATCCCACTTCCTGACAACACTAGGTATTTTCAGATGCTACAAACGTTGCTCGCCTAGATTACTGTGGCTGGTTTCGAATCAGCCTGCATTACAAACTACCGACGCTTTATCGATTGCACCGCCATTTCGCCATGGCCTTCAAATGCGGCACCTGCACAAGAGTTTTCGACTCGCAAACAAATCGCAACCAACATGTCCAGGCAACACGCCATACCACCCCAGAATTTGAGTGTCACACTTGCGGCCGCTCTTCTCTATCAGAAGTGGCCTTACACCAACACCAAAAAGATACCGGTCATCGAAAGGTTCTGTGCCGAGAAAACGCTCCAAACAGGCGCCGCTGACGTCGTTCCTATTCAGAAAACTGTCGTGGCCGAATATTCTCAGGTGTCAACCAACGTGAAACTGGAGAAGCCGCTCGATGAACTAGAGATATACAGTCCTATTGACCTCAATGGCCAGGCTGCAAAGCTCCACATGCAGTTTCTCGGCCTCACCCCCGGCCAAGAGAAGAACGAGATCGATTCAAGCCCTCTGCTCCTTGTACCGACGCTCCAACGGTCGCCCTCTCTGCAGTTTGGCCTTCTGGGTGGAGTACTGTCGGAGAATGGCCGGCCATCAAAGGAGTCGCGCATCTTCTACAATGTGAGCTGTCCATCTAGCATCTTCATCTGCGGGAGTCAGGGTTCAGGAAAGAGCAATACCCTGGCATGCCTTCTGGAGAATTGCCTGATACCTAGCGATTTGGGAAGATTGGCTCATCCACTTGCCGGTATCGTCTTTCACTACGACACATTCGCGTCCGACGATGGCGGTCTCCCATGCGAGGCGGCTTTCCTTGCCTCCCATGCCAAGGTATCGGCTCGCGTTCTCTGTGCGCCGACGAGCTTCCGCACCGTAAAGGTAATGACGGGATCTCAAAGTACGACTACGTCTGATGCATGGCGGCTGACGCAGGTCATTGGATTTTAGAAGATTTATAGCGGTATTCCTCAAGTCGACGTCAAACCCCTCAGAATCAGTGGATCCGATCTCAATACCAGCAGAATGCTAGACCTCATGGCATTTCAGGAAGGTACCAAACCACTCTATTCATACGTCATGCAGCGTATACTTCGAGATATGCGACTCGAGCAGCAGGAGAAGGGCTCGCAATTCGACTACGCTAAGTTCAAACAAGCACTCGCGCGGGAGAAGTTTTCACAGGGGCAGCAAGGCCCTTTGCAGCAGCGTCTCGAGACACTGGAAAGTTTCATGATCAAAGGAAAAGCCCGATCCGATGAGGAGATCTACTGGGCGCCAAAGGTACGATGGCATCGTCCGAGCGCTGTCTTTGCAATGGCTGACGCATCACCAAGGCCGGGCAGCTTACTATTATCGATCTCTCTTGTCCCTGCATCCCGGCCGAAATGGCATGTCTGCTCTTCAACATCTGCCTATCTCTCTTCTTGGAGCAGAAGTCGGACGTTGGTCGCGTTGTGGCGCTGGACGAGGCGCACAAGTACCTCGGGCAGTCAGGAGAAAGCCAGGTGCTTACGGAGTCGCTGTTGCAGACTGTCCGCCTCCAGCGACACCTCGGAGTTCGGATGTTCATATCGACGCAGGAACCTACAATATCGCCGAAGCTTTTGGACTTGTGCACCGTGACGATCGTCCACCGTTTTTCGTCGCCCGATTGGCTGCGGACCCTCCGCCGTCATCTCGCGAACGAGGACGCCACTCCGGTGGACGAGGCGAATTCAGCTACACCTGGGCAGGCACGCGCCGTGACGGACTTGTTCCCTAGGATCACGGCTTTACATACAGGACACGGACTCGTATTCGCACCCAGTGCACTGATCGGGAGGTCTCGGGACGCGGGGGGGGGCCGCTGGTGGCTTTTGCCGGAACGCGAGTGAGCCGACTACCATACAAGTACGCTCTCGGCTCACAAGAGATGGGGGGAGGACGGTGATGGCTAGGCAGAGCGCGTAGATGTGGCTCGCATAGTTGCGTGGGAGTATGGCTCGCCGTGGGCTCTGTCACGAGGTGAAAGAACGCTGGGCATTTCCGACGCGGTTGATAGGAATAGACGCGCGGGTTGAGTGCGTGAGCGCGAGAGTCTGCTTGCCTGGATATGGTGATCCACTATCCGTATTCGCGAAATCGGTGTCCCGTTTGTCCAAAGTCCTTGAGGAAATCAGGAGCAGGACAATACCTCACAAAGTAAATACCATAGTATGTCCACACTTTGATACAGTACCCCAACCAATACCTTATGTTCCGGGGAGAATCCGAAGCATAGTCCCGAATCTATTGTATTCGTAGAGTGGATTCCACGCCAGTTCCAATGATATCCTGCTCACCACTGATAATGATGCTGCGGGGTATCAAGGCAATGGCCGCCTTGTCGACAGGCCCAGCGAATAGTATGCCAGTAAGGGGGCAATGCCCTGCTGTGCACCCCGTCTGTCCCGAGTCGCTCTCGTCGTCAGAATCGTTAATTCATAGCAATTCGGTCGACTCCACTAGCAACGACGTTGTGAATCCATTCCTCTTATCTCTAGATACTCCCTCAACAGACTCCGATCTTTGTCACTTCTGTCTCCAATGGCATACCGCGATTCTCTCGACTCGGACCACCTCCGACTACTCCGACCAGTCTCATTGTCTCACGACAACCTTCACTTTTCAGTCATCACTGTGCGTCGCGCAGCGGTAAATAGCTATAAGTACACAGCCGTCTCATACACCTGGGGGGACGGCAGCCCTTCCGAGACAATCTTCCTAGATGGTCAACCTTTCCCAGTCAGACCAAATCTATGGTCTTGTCTGTATTACTTGGGCCTTGCTTCACGGCATACCGAGTGGGAGTACCTCTGGGTTGACGCGATTTGCATCAACCAAGCCAACGATGCAGAGCGTAATTCACAAGTCCGCTGCATGGATCATACATACAGGAGTGCTACCTGCGTCTCTGTTTGGCTCGGTTTGATACCTCTACCAAAGGGCCTACCCCGAAATACTCTCGCTCCTATCAAGACGCTAGACAGCGACGGATTCGACTGGCGAGAATCCATGCTCGAGCTCGCGGGTCGCCCGTACTGGACTCGCTTCTGGGTTATTCAGGAATGCCTGCTCGGTTTAGAAATCGAGCTCTATTGTAGTAATAACCGAATAACATGGTTCGACTTCCAGCGTATCCTATGCACAGAGGCAGATGTCAACGAGTTTCCCCAATCGGACGACCTCGATCCTGGAGGGAGTAAGGCAGGGTCATATCCTGCCTTGCCACTCGTTATGAGCCGTACGATTGATCGGTATCCGGAACTAATGCAACCGCTATACGACCTCGTCGTCGCCCACCACCGTGCCAAATGCAAGGAAACTAGAGATAGGGTTTTCGCCTTGCTCGGACTTGTAAAGCCCGAGGAACGACGTATGCTTGGCCGATTCTTTCCCGATTACGCCATGGCTGAAGAACACGTACTCATCATAACACTCGCGCACCTAACGCAATATACCTTCGAGCTAGCCTACAGGGACCGCCAGCCGATAACGCCTGATTCCGAAGAACTTTTCCTCGGACTCGGGGTTCAGTCGAAGATACGGAGGAGGGCGATAATACGTCGGGCGAAGTGGCTAGATTATTGTGATTGGGATGCGCAATTGCCGCAACTGCTCGCCCTCCGAGACCAAGAAGAGCAAGACTTGGGCAGCGCGTATTCGGAGGAGGCTGAAGAAGAAACCCAAGTACTTGAAGGTGCTAGTTTAAGGCCAGGCGGTGCACAACTTGTAATTCTTTTGTTTTTCGCTCTAGCTGCCACCTTGGTCTGGTATGTGCTGCGCCTCTAACAAGCGGATGGCTTTTGAACTTATCGTGTACAGGTAACCTGGGCACCAGCCTTGGAAACTGTGTCAGGCGGCCAGCAATTGGGCATATTGGTCTATTGCCTACGAAGCGAGCGTGGCGTTGTTGTTACGTCTCTAACCTAAAACATGGAACAGAGAAGGGATTCACAGCCATAATGCCTATATTCCGCATTGCAATAGGGGATCGAGCATGGATGGGTTGGATGCACGACTCGATCATGCAATGTCAAGGTCTGACGAACTGTCAGACCTTGGTCGGCTACTCCGGAGTCATGGCCCCTCGTTTACGCCATGACTTCCTCATATTGAATTAGCCTGGCCGGTATTTCTTAAACGGTTCGGCTGTGCTATCTTTCCTTAGATGAATAGGACGCATTTTAGCGGTGTCAGCTTATTCGCTAAGCAACAATATACGCTCTTTTGAACACCCATATGCCCATTTGTCAGCCGCCATTCTGATATCTGTCAGAAACCATGTGTATAATCAGGTGATAATTCCGAGTTGCAGTAGCGTAGCCGAACAGTACAAAGGCACCTGTAGAGTACGTAACGGCCAATACGAACTGTGCCCGTGCGCCTGAATTATCTAAAGAGTGTTGGTGAAGAGGACACCGATTTTGCAAATAGCTGTATTACGGTTTGTTGTACGATTGGTGACTGCGGCGCTCCACAGCCCCGCGCCTGTCTC